CATACATTCATTCATACATTCATTCATACATTCATTCATACATTCATTCATACATTCATTCATACATTCATTCATACATTCATACATTCATTCGTACGTACATTCATTCATACGTACATGCATTCGTACATGCATTCGTACATACATTCATTCATACGTACATGCATTCGTACATGCATTCGTACATTCATACATGCATTCGTACATTCATACATTCATTCATACATTCATTCATTCATTCATACATTCATTCATACATTCATTCATTCATACATACATTCATACATACAAACAAACAAATAGATACACACACAAAGTTTAAAGGAGTCTTTTTAACACATTTTTGCTCATTTAAGAGGAAAATAATAATTTAATCCAACTCCTCAGATAAATCTTGCCTGGTTTTAGTTTGAGACGGTTTCGTCCTAAAAGTTCATCTTTCCTCAGAAAAACCGATTCAAAGAAAATTCTTGGAGTTGTTTGTGTAACCCGTTTGTCCTCGTCACCAGGAGGTGGGCTGCGGGGCCAGTCTGGGGGTGATCTCCGAGTCTCTGCTGGTGACGGGGGGTCAGGGCTGCGTCTCCTTCTGGGACCTGAACTTCGGCGACCTGCTGCAGACGGTCTACCTGAGCCCGAGCGGCGACGGTCAGGGCGTCCGGCAGCTGCTGGTGCTCGACAACGCCGCCATCGTCTGCGACTTCGGCAGCGAGCTCAGCCTGGTCTACGTGCCTTCGGTGCTGGAGAAGCTGGACTGAGGAGCGTGGGCAGCCGGCACCGGTGGGAACACTCAGAACATGCACGTGTTGCTCTGGATGAGACGACATCATCAGACTCGCGTTTTAATTTTAGCACTAACGTGTTTTAAACCTAGACGTGGAGGGAGGACAGCTGGACGCTTCTCTCTTTAGCCATCTATCAAGTTCTTTTTTTAAAACCTTAACTATGTATAAGCTTGTTTTTGTGGCTCTGCCCTTCATGCTGCTGACATGGGTGGGGCTTCACTGTGACCCCCCACCCTCTAAAAGAGGAAAAGTAGTGATTTCTTCTTTTTTTTTTAATACGTTTATATTCCTTTTGTGCTGTTGACTCAGCGGTGAAGTGCAGCCTTGGTGCACCAGACAGCTCTGAGGCCTGTTGGAATTAACTGAGCAGTGAATGAATGAATGAATGAATGAATGAATAATTTGGACTCTTTTTAAGGCAAACGATCCGCTGAACAAAGTGTGTGACGTGTGTGAGAACTGCAGATTACTGTATAAGCCTCCAGTGGGGGATGTTTTATATGTAAAAATCTATTTATTAGAAACTTTTGAGTAACAGTTGCTTTATGGATTACTAATCCCAGCTTCTTATTGTAAATATTCTGCAGAGAGGAAACCAGGAGGATGTTTGGCAGCGTCTCAGACTGGCTGTTTTTACGGTTTTGCTGAAAAGTGATGCTTTTGGAGTTTTTTTTTTTGGGGGGGGGGGGCTGTTTGTGTGAAGCTTAGATGATTGTGTGCAAGTTGTGATTGATGCCGTTACCGTTTGTTCACCTTCTTTTCAGGAAATGATCCTTGTGTTATTTTTAAACCTCTACACCTCACCTGTCCTAAATTAGATTTAATTCCTTTTTTTAATACAATAATTGTCCACAAGAAGCGACTTGAACTAAACTGGATTAAAGTTCACGTTTACTCACTTCCATATTGTTGATAAAAACCTATAATTAGTCATTAAATTTGATCCTCAACTCCTCCAAGTGAGAAAAAAAGGTTTCAAAATAAATAAAATTGCAATATTTCCAAGTACTTTTTAAGTTGAAAATACAAAAGTTAACCAGAAACGATGTCAGTACGGTTTGTTGTAAAATTTTAACATTTACTCGTTTCAATGTCATGAAGATCTGTCAAAATATTTTTATCTTATATTGAAGGTTAATCTGTCCTTAATTAAAAAAACAACAACTTGTGAACAAAGTTTGTTACAGGTTGTCAACAACCACGTGCGTTTATTTACCTACGGAAACAACCGAAGACTAAAAATAGAAGAAGAATGGCGACGTCCATGAGTTATTTGGAATGAAGTTTGACAATTACAAATTTATTTCTGCTCTGATTTGTTGAATAAAATATGCAGATGAGATAAGTTTGGACGAAACTTTACACTCAAAGGTCTAGAAGTTTTACAAAAGCCGCTTGCAGGAATGTGGACCTCTTCGTGGGGCCTCCCCGTCCTGCAGGATATTTGTTCTTGTCCGACTCGTTTTCTTCCCACGAACGTTTCCACCTACACTAAACCTCCCAGGTTCCGGTCGCACGCTCGTTGTGCACCTGCAGACGGCGGCCGGACTCGGTCCGTCTCCACGTGAGGTTCAGTGGATTCTGCCGAGCGTTTGGTTCACATTGAACGTGGCCCCATGTTCAGGGATTGCTTTTAATAAATCTGTAAACACTTTTAAACGACTACCTTTAACATCATTCAGGATTAACTTTCATACTTTGCCACGAGTAACTTCAAGAACAATTAATTTTTTTTTTTAAATCAGTGAAGGACTTATTGTTCAGAGAATTATTGAACTTTGATCAATTTGCGACATATTTTCAAAGAAATTTAGATTCACACATCGGAAAATTCAACTAGACCAAATTAGCATTCTTATTTCTAAAAGTGGCATTAAATAAACGGAAGAGGATTAGGGCCATGGTAATATTTTCCCCCTGAGTTCTGAGATTAAAGTCAGAATTCAGTAGAAAAAGGAGTTGCACCATGGCTCTAATCCTCTTCAGGTTACATTTGTAACATCAGTTGATCCATAGAACCATTGAATATTGTGCAGGTCTTCCTTCTGCTACAGAAACAGCTCAATTAAAATGTATATTTCTAATATTTATTTTTACATTGTTGTCCAAGCATTAGGTTTTACTGTTCAGTCTTTGTAAAGTTCCTTAAAGCAAATCCAGTTGTTCAGTTTGTAATATCTAATACATAAATGGATAAATTCTAAAATTTAACAGCCCAAAATGTTGTTGGGTCCTTTTAAATCCCTAAACATTCACTCACCTGAGAAATTATAGGATATTTAATCCCATTTTATTGTGTTCAGCTACTTTTGAAGAGCGTAACATGCCAAGAATATCAGGAATATATTTTATCTGCATCGCCTGCTGAATGTCATCTCGGGATGAGAGAATTAATTCCTCACAGCATTTCAGTGCACCGTTCTGCTCACACTTTAAAATGCACTTTTGCTAACGTCACCTTCCACACAGGAGAGGTGCGTTAATCTGAAACCACATCGCTGGTGCACGAGCGCGTCGGCAACAGACCTGGTTCCTCCGGGACGCAGCCATGTTTACATGCAGGTAACGAGCAGCTGGATTATGGCAGATTAAGAGAATTTGAGTTTTGAACAAGCAGCCACTGAGGCTGCGTCCCACAGAAACCAGTGGCGTTGCCTCGATGGCTCCGTTAACGGCTCATTGATCGTGTTTTTTGTCGTGCAGCCGAAGGTTGGAAATTGTAATTGTACAGTTTGTTTCAAGTCGTCTATAAATGTGAATTTGTCTTAAGAGGAACTTTGACATTTTGGAAAATACATGTTGATTTTTTAATTCAGACTGGACCGTAATATATCCACATTTTAGGCTCCCCAGTGGAACCAGCTTGTTTTAAAATCAGTTCTACTGTTTTTAGATGTGACAGCTCAGAGATGTCAAAGTTACTGATAAGTTCTTCGTACTTTATTGAACAGTTGCAGGTTTCTTACACCGTTATTATTTCAAAGCTCCCGGTGTCATGATTTAAAACATTTACTGTAAACTTACAGAACTGCCAAAAAAGGAAAATTAATTATTTTTCAGTGTAACACGAGGTTGTGATTCAGTTGCTTTGTGGGTCACTAGTTTGCAGCTTACCGGTTTATTTTATTTACATAAAAAGGAGTTGAGGCTGGAAATATTTTTTCCAACGTCAAAGTGCCAGCAGGACTGCTAATAACTTGTGGAGCTTGGATTATGCTGGTGTCCAAACTCCCCTACAAGTCTTTTTAATTTATTTTTTATCTAGATTTAAAGGAACCCTGTTCAGGTATAAATTGCACCTTTTCGTAACGCACTTGAGGTTTTAATGTCAATAAAAATACAAAAAACAACAAATGTATTTTCAAAGACGTCTTGAAGTCAGGAGGGTCAGTGACGGTTTCAGCTCATGAATGTTTTGGTTTGTGTTTTCTAATAAAACATTTATGCCTAATTTAAATGAACGCTTCTTGTTGCGTTCTGGGTTTCATATCAGTTTGTAGATGCTGCCTTCACTCTTTGTCCTCTGAGCAGAGGAGGAAACTTCCTGTGACTGCATCGTCACAACAAACAGCAGAAATCTGTTTACGGCTGAATCGTTTAACTTCAGCCAAATTTAGACTAAACTTGATCCTCCTCTTCTCACTGGCTGGCTACGATCTCTGCAGGCTCTTGTAACGGAGGTAACTTATTTACCATTTTGTAACAAAAAGAAATAAACTTTTTACTAATTTTCAAATAAAGAAGCTTTGATATAACTCTTGTCTACTGGATTTATTCAACATTTTTTCTAGAGGAACAATTTTTGAAACAGTCTAACTTTAATATATTTACAGTAATACAAAGAAAATTAAGTCAACTTTTAAAAACATGCCGATTCGTGTGCTATTCTGTATTACAATGATGACTCGCACGCACAGACCTGGAGACGTCACGTTCTGAAAAATAACTCCCTAAAGCTCCAAACATCAGTTCCTCCAGTCGTTGAATCGATGCAGCCCCGTGACGCTTCACTGCTCACGTCAGACAGGCTTCGTGAACATGGAGTGCATACTTGGACTTTTTTCTTTTGGCGGCTCACATCTAGGGGCTGGAAGTTGCACATCTACCCAAAACATACAAAGAAAAGCAGCAAGGAGTGACAGAACATGAGGGGATAGAGACAAGTGCATAGTGACGTGGTCCCAGAAGCCACCAGTGTAAAGAAAAGAAGTGTTCTGTGTTACTAGTTTAGAGATTACACCGTCATCGTTGGCCAACAGGCACATCTTGGTTATCACCATTAAAGTGTCTCCAGAATGCTAAAGATTAGAAAAAGCTACAAGCCTTTGCTGACACCTGGTGGCAAAAAGAGAGAAAGCAGCAACCTCTGGATTTATCTCAGTGCTTGCTGAGGCTCCAGAGGGGGTCCAAGCTGCTGAGGGGGTCGCTGCCGTCGTCACCTCGAGTTGCGTGGAGACCCTGACCTTCTGCGGGCTGCAGAAAGCTCTGCTTGGTCACACGTTGTTTCCCCCGACCTCCTCCTTCTAAAGAGAACGCCTCCGGTGTCAGAGAGGCCAGAAGGTCCAGGGATGAAGCAGACGGCGCTGTAGAAGCAGGAGGGGGGCTGATGCAGGGTGCAGCCTCAGGAACTGCTGGGGAGAAACCATCGAGGCCATTGGGCGGTAGAGGAGAGTGTGCAGGCGAGGTGAGAGGTGGGCTGAAGGAGGACGGGGGCTGGGAATCTGTTGAAGGGCAGGGGTCCTGGAACATCTGCTGGTCACCCATTGAGTCGATGCTCGGTAGGACGGGTTCACCCTGCTCCTCCGGACCACACGAGGTGCTGGCCTCCATGGCAGGGTCTGTGGCGCTGGGGGGCCGGATGCTGAGCTTGGCGATGGTGGCCTGAATGGAGCTGATGGGCATGTCCCCACCGAGGATGATGTCCTGCTGAGACTCCTGTCTCGAGTAAGGCTGCAGAGGAAGTTCAGTAACGAGATAAATGTTAAAAGACAACAAAGAGGAGCGGCAAAGTGAAGATTTATCCATTTACTACTGGTGCTGTTCTACTGATAGTAACATGGACACCTCTTCAGATCAAACCTTGAAGAATTCCTTTACCACAATCAGAGGTGCACAGTGTGACATTACAACATTGAAGTCAAATAAGCTTCATCCAAAAAGGGGTTTACTCTAACCCACCTTTTAAAACACTTTGTAACATGTAACAAATATCTCCGCCCCACCCACCCATAAAGTCTCATTGAAGTGCAAGTATAGAAGTCTCTCGATACTTCATGGCTCGACTTTCACGGACTCACTCATGGGTTTTCAACGTAAGATTGTACATGACACACGGTTGGCTGATTGATGGAAGACGACCAACCAGAGCATTGTGCTGAGGGGCAGACTGGTCATTGGGAGCACTGGGACATTTCCCGGTGGCCTGGCTCGCTTTCTGAGCAGTAGCGATGAGGAAAGACATACCCCACCCCCTCCTTTCTCTTTCTGAGGCTGTCTGTCGCTGTGACAGACAGCCTCAGAAAGAGAAAGGAGGGGGCGGTCAAAGAGCGGGCCAGGCCACCGGGAAATGTCTCAATGGCCTGTCCGCCCCTGGATTGGCTCAGTAACCATAGCATCAGTCTGTCTGCTCTTTTTAGCTGTGCTCTTTTAGAGCATTCAGAGTTTAGAACATTGTTAAGAACATTGCAAGAGTATGGGAAGGGCTTATAAAGCATTAAAATATATAAATACTAAAATAAACATAACGTCCCTACTTCACGGATTTTCACCTATCGCGGGGGTGTCTCGAACATAACCCCCACGATAAGTGTGGGACTACTGTATATGGATATCTTCTGTGAGGCTATTACAATTGAAAAAAACTTGTCATGTTGACAGAAATTAGATTTATTTTTTTTACAACTTTTAGCAGCAGCAGCATAATTGGACTGTGTCCATTGTACTTCAATATAAACTATTTCCTTTGTAGAAGGGAATTGCTAAATTCAAGTGAGCGCAGTTCGATTTGTCCATTACCAAATAAAGGTTGCAACTCATTTTTTTAGACAAAAATTAAAAAGTATTATGCTGCTACAAAAGAAAAGAAAATAATCTACTGGTGCAAAAATCAATATTGGCTACAGTTAAAGTTCAAACAATAAAATATTTTTATAAACTAAAACAGCACATTATTTTACTTATAAATCCACTTTCTGCATTAATTCAATGTAGCTGCCACCTGCAAACATTAAATGGAATAAATATGAGTGGTTACAATTTTGCACTGTGCTTTTTAAAACAGAATATTTAACATCTTTAACTTTTTTATAGTCCAGTTGAGAATCTTGTGAACAAATTAAATCATGTATAAAGACATATTAGAACAGGCAAAATGTTCGTCACAACACCCTGAGGGCAAAGAAGATCCTAAATGACAGTTTCAGGTCAGTTACAAATCCACAGAGCCTAACCTTAGTGGCTGCAGAGTTGGTGTTCTTGCTGTAGGCGGTGGTGGTGATGCCGTGACGCTGAAGGACCTGCTCAGCATGCTTCAGCACGGCCTCATAGCAGAACTTCAGGTGGAGCTGGAGACACACAAGTGAAATTCACTATAACTAGGCGTTTGGTGTTCTTCAAAATTCATTCATCATTTTTACCAATATAATCAAGTTTTAACCTGTATTATCGGCACTAAACATTTTAAAAGGAATTCCTTTTATATTTCTGCCTAAATCAAATCCAAACCCCACTTGAGACGTCTGTATCTGACCTTCTCTTGCAGCATGTTCTTTCTCTGTTGTCTCATCTTCTTCACCAACAGTGGAAGGTCTGGGATGCCGTTCCCTGCCTCCAGCTCCTGCAGGGCAGCATAGAGCAGACAGAAGACACCGGTGCGTCCAACTCCAGAGCTGAAACGAAGTATGCAGGCTGGTAAGCAGCACTGGTCTCACAACTAAACGGGGCCGAGATGGAGTAGAGGTTGGGCAGCCGACTCAGGACCCGAAAGTCCCAGGTTCGATCCCCAGCCACGTCCACATGTCGTGGTGTCTCTGAGCAGGACACCCAATCCCCAATTGCTCCTCGGCCGCCTACATAGCTGCCCACTGCTCCACCAGGGTGCATCCCAGGTGCAATGGATTAAATGAAGAGAACCAATTTCGCCATTGTATGACAACACTTTAAAGTGCTAGCTAGCATTATTAATAAGAAATGTGTCATACTTTCTGTAATAATCAAAAGGCAAGTGCCAGAAGTAAACAAGTCAATCATTTGTTACAGAAAAAGTCTACTGGAAAAGACAAGATACGAATAAACTGAAGCGATCACCTGCAGTGCACCACAACAGGTGTGTGTAAGGGCCTCTGGTGAAGGTAGTGTCCATGAACCTCCTGGATGAATCGCAGCAGGTTGCTCTTGCTATCAGGAAGACCCCTAATGAGACCACAAAAAAAAAAAAAGTTCAAAATGAAAGTGAAAAATAGTGATTTTATAAAAACAGATGACCTACAGCTCCGGCCAGGACGTAAACTGGAGATGAACGACGGTACGCTTCAAGCTTTGGTCGCGGTATTGTAGACTGATCATGCGCTCCACGTGCGTTGGTGTCGTCTTCTGCGTGGTCAGGCTGAGTGTGATTGGTCCCTGAGAGAGCTGCTGACCGCGCTCTGTTGGGAAGTAGCGTAGAACTTTTCCCTGGGACACAACAACCACAAACACAAATAACAAAATTTATTTAAAAAAAAAAACCAACAACTTTAAATTACAAGAGAGTGTCTTGTTTCAAACTAAATACCTTTTCCAGCTCCTGCTCTGAAACGAGCATGGCTATCAGCGACACCTTCTGCTCGTACACCATCAGCCAGAAGTCTGCTGCTGTACCGGTGAGCGGAGCCTGTGTGGCAATAAGGCGGGGGCAGTATGGTGACAAGTCCTCCACATAGCTGGCATTGATGTAGTCATCTTTGCCTGACTGCAGCACCACACGATTGAAGTCATAAGGCATAACATCCTGGTGGCGGTTCTTCATAGTGTAGCAACGGGCGATAGCTATAGAGAGCTGGCGGGCATCCTTTTCTTGTTGGTCCTGCAGCTCCTTCCAACGGGCATCAAGCACTGACAACCCCCTCTCATTTTCTGAGGGGTGCTCCAGGGCATCTACTTGGGATCTGTAATGTTCTAGCTCACTGTGAAGACGAGCAACACACTCTGGCGCTTGATATGGATCACCGTGGATAAGGAGAACTCCTTGGGAGTTTTTCCTTCGACGCACCCCATCCTGAGGGTCAGCTTTGGTGGGTTGGAGGACGTTGGTGGGGGCTTTGGTGCCTCCAGGTTGGCTTTCTGGGCTGGAGGAAAGGAGATCATCTGTGCTCGAGTTATCACGTTGAAATAGTGATGTGGAGGGAGGAACAGCAGATGGAGAGGGAAGAGTGGGTGGGGCTGCACTTCCAGGAGTGGGGGTTGGTGTGGGCCTCTGCTGGGGATTCAAACCTAAAGAGGCAGGGCCAGGCGATGGAGATGGAGAAGGGGGGATAGCGTTTGTTGGTTGCACTGCTGCAGGGCCTCCAGGAGAGGGCTGAATCATGTGTGAAGCAGGGGGGGCATGCTGGCCCATGACATTGGATGGTTGTGGGGCACCTGGAGGTACATTAGTCCCTAGAACTGAAGGATACATAGAAGGCTGTGAATGGGTCATAGTAAGAGAAGCTGCTGGCTGGGGTGCCAAAGGCTGCTGAGGCAGCATTGGAGCACCACCAGGGTAACATACCCCCCCAGAATGAGCAAGGTGAAGCTGAGATTGGCTGGAAATCTGCAGAGGCTGCTGTGGGATGTTTGGTATGGGAGGCTGGCCAGGTATGTGTTGATGCTGTGCAGTTATTGCACTCTGAGGCATTTGGGGCACAGGTCCTCTGGGAAGGTGGGTCTGAGGACCAGAAGCCATGTGAGTTTGTGACACAGGGGGCATCTGAGGGTGCATGGTAGGAGGGGTAGGTTGGCTAGATGGAGGAATGTAGTTAAGTGACACTGGAGGAATTGTCTGACTTGTAGGGGGCAACTGTACTCTATGAGCACCTGGCATTTGCATTTGGCTGTGAGGCAGAATTTGCTGGGTACTTGGACTGATGGGGGTTTGTTGCTGCTGTGGCACTATCTGTTGATGGGGGAGTCGTGGGGGCATTTGTTGATTGGGATAGGGCAAATATGGAGTAGAAACAATGGGCCCTGGCTGAGAAGATGCAGGTATTGGTGGATGTGCAGTTTGAGATGGCCTTGGCATGGAGCCTGGCATCAAATGAGGGGGCTGTTGGGGTATATATGTCTGTGGAGTCTGATAGCCGTGCGGTATCTGGGACTGTGGTGGAAAACCATTTTGCTGATGTGGCTGAAGTTGACCAGGAAATGCTTGCTGGTACTGAGGAGGAACACCAAGCTGAGGGGGAATATATCCTTGAGAGTAAACTTGTGGCTGAACAGGAGGGCCAGGGAGCCTTGGTCCAGGCTGGTACCCCTGAGGGAGAGGTTGCCCAATGGGCTGGGGGTACTGCTGTGGAAGCTTTTGCTGCTGCGGTTGAGAGGCAGGAGTCTGGCCCCTACTTTGAATAGGAGCTCCTGGCTGTGGCAGCATGTGGGGGTATGGTCCAATCTGTGGTACTGTGTAGCCAGCTGAAGCTGCAGGTGGGACAGGGTGGTGTGGCGTGGGGGTGTAGCTAGCAACAGGAGCCTGAATGCTGTCTACAGTTGCGGTTGGGTGACGGACTGGGACAGGGGCAACAGGGACTGGTTGAGGAACTTGAGGAGGGGGTGGCCGATAACCGGAGACAACTGGTTGAGGGGGCATTTGTGGAGGCCTCTGTGGAGTCATGTGAGGGTGGGGCATGTGTGGCAGGGGTCCTTGTGTTGCTACAGGCCCCGGAGTAGGGAACTGAGCAATCCTTGCCAGGAGCTCTGGAGGTGGCAGGTTGGCAGGGAAGTGAGGAAGAGCAGCAGCTGGAGCACCAGGCCAAGGCAGAGAGGAGCTGCCTCCCAGTTTAGCACCAGGAGGGATGAAGGCTTCAGGACCGGGCACACGACCACCGGCAGTAGGGAAGGAGGGAAAATCAGGAGGGAGACTGCGAAGGTCTTCAGGCAGGTCACCTCCTAAGGCCAAGATGGCTGCACTGAGCTGAGCCAACTCTGGATCTTCTATGCTAGAAGAGGCAGAGTCAGGATCAGAAACCCTCGGCTTCTGGGAGGGCTTAGCTGCTGTGGGCCGTGCTGGGGGCTTCTTCTGGGTCTCTCTGCAAAGAAAAGGCAGATTCTAAGAGAAAGCAGGATAAATTTTAAACAAACATTAAAAAATGAATTGAATCACATTTGTATAAGAATATTTTGATGCAAAATATCAAAATTAAATCTCAAAAGTTTTCTTACTTTTCCAGCATGGGCTTTCTCTCCTCCACCCTGGTCTGGCACAGGATCTTTGCTCTCTCCAGCAGACGTGATGCTTTGGTCTCCAGGTCATCGTAGAACTCTTTTCCCTCCTGTGATTTCTTCATGAGATCTTCATAGGCTTCATAAGAACCCACCAGACCTTGGACTGTACTGTTCCACTGTTCCTCGGTCTGGTTCAGGCCCTTACGAACAGAGGCGTATTGAACGTTCGCCTCGGTCAGGGCCTTTAAGATGTTCTCCTGCGCTGCCAGGTTCTGGTCAATATAAACCTTCACTTGCTCATACTTCTTCAGCTGCTCCTCAAATATATGCTGGAAGGACATGGGTTAGTTAAATATCTTAAAGATGAATTAAACTATCTTTGACTGACACAAGTTCTTAAAATCTGTTTTGTCCAAATGCTTTCTTGTAGGTTTATAAATAATAATACCCTTAATTAATAAAACTTAAGTAGTTAAGTACCTTCATATCTGCTCTTTCTGTGGTGACAAGAGTAGAAGTGATGTCATCCTGCTGGATGAGATCACGAAGCTGTTTTTCCAAAGAGCTTCTCTGTTCCCTCATCTCCTGAACTTTTCCCAGAATCCTCTTCATACGCTGCAGTCCTGCCATTTCCTCTGCACACAAAGTTGCATCAAAATTACCGTATTTTTACTATGAGGCGCACTTAAAATCATTTAATTTTCTCAAAAATCGACAGCGAGCCTTATAATTCAGTGGTTGTGCTTACTGACCTCAAACCGATTTTATATGGTACGTGGTGCTCAAAAATCTGTCAAAACTAACTTGTTTCACTTAATGCGCCTGATAATCCAAAAAAACATGTATTCTCCTATACGTAAGTATAAGTATACTGCTAAAATTACATTCAGTCTTAAGCTTTTTTTTTCAGAATCACTAGTCATACTTTAACCAAGTTCAAGGACACTTTCATTAAGCACCACTAACTCTAAATGCAAAATAAAATTGTTAGGATAATGAACAATTTTAAATATTACCTGTTGTTTTGTCTGTACAGCACTTTGGTTGACCTTGTAGCTGTTTTAAGTGCTTTATAAATAAAGTGGTATGGTATGGTATGGTAAATATAAACAGCTGGAGTGTTTTTTCTTCTTGCTGTGAAGTCACTGAAATGACTTTTTAAAGTTCTGAAATTTTAGCCTTACAATCCATAAACCCTGGATTTATGGGGAAATAAACCAGATGTTTTTGACAATTATTAAGAAAATCTGTCAATGTAAATTATTTATACTTGCCAACATTTTGTGAAATTTGGTCTTTAATCTTGTGCTCGTCTTGAAAAACATCCATTTAAAATTTATTAACAAATGTTTGTTATAGTATATACAAACTGGTATCATCAAACATACCTTCACTAAGCTGGGGCTTTGGCAGGGCATCTCTCAGAGAGTCCAGTGGCCCCCCCAGCAGACGCAGATTGCTGATGTGGAGGTTCATAGCCCTGTGGAGCTCAGTGTTGGTAAAACTGGCCTTCTCGTGGACCTCCATGTACTTCTCCAGGTCCCTGCGGATCTCAGCCAGAGCCTGGCTCTGCGCTGCTGGGCGCATGTCAGCCGCAGCAGCGCCACAAACCTCCTGGAGGGCCCGCTCACCAGCTTCATCCACCTCTAGGACATCACGGATCTCCTTCAGTGAAGATTCTACATCAGTGAAGACTCCTGAGAGAACTGCAAAAGCACAGAGATGAAGTTTATACATGAACATTACGTAGATACAGAACAAACTCTGAGACTGTAGTACAGTCAACAAAACTGCTCAGGGGGCCACAGTTTCTGACAGCCAGCAATTAAAATCATTATATAAATAAACCAAAGTTTACAATAACCTGTTACCTTTTAAATTAGTTTATTTTATTGCATTGCATCATAAATGCAATGACCAGAACACAAAACCCAAACCCTGAACCCCTCAAAAAATACATTTAAAAAAATTATTATTATTATTATTTTTAATGAAGTGAACTGAAGTTCTGGCCCACGGGCCGTCAGTTGAATAGCCCTTCTTTAGTAGGATCACCTCTTCCAGAGTTCAGATCCTGAGAAATCCTCAAATATTAAACATATTTTACATTTTTGTATGGTTAAAATAATATACGAATCATGAAGTGTTAATACAAGAAAATCTAATTCAAATAATAACTCACAATGCTGTCAAGGAGGCCTTAATAAAATTTAGTCTTAAATATTTATGCTAAAATAATGGAATGAGTTTACCAACACCAGCCGCTGTTTGAAAAGTTGCAAATAAAAATGTAGGATCACATCTTTTAAACTCCATCTTTAATAAAACACTTTTACTGACGTGGTTGAAGCCGTTTCTACTGACCCTGCATAGACTGAATGAGGCTCTTGACGGTGTCTGGTCGGACGCTGAGCGCAGCACACTTCTCCATCAGAACCGGCGGGATGTGGTTGTACATGTCCAGGTTGTCAACAGACTCTGGCTCCAAGCCCAAAGAGTCCATGAACTGCCTGCAGTCACATGACATAAAAAAAAACATTGGAAATGATACAATATGTCCCTGTATGCGCTGAACTTTTGATTTTCTGGTTAAGTTTTATGCTTTGTACAATATCTAAAAATCCTCTTCTCAGTTCAGAGAAGTTCTGAACAGCATGCACAGAACTAAATGCGTGTTGGAGCATTTTACAGAATCAAAACCTCTAAAACAGACACACTCAGGAACTCACTCTAGAGTTTCATTCTTGCTGTCGATTTTGGCCATGGCATCTCTCAACAGCTTGGCTTTCTCCTCACTGGAACAAACAGACATGATTAAAGTTTCCTAACGCAGGAAAAACTCGTCTGACTCTTTGTTTCACATAATTTCATTACCTGTACAGAGAAGAGGCTTCGTGAGCAGCCATAGGCACCAGTTTTGTAAAAAGGTCTGGTCCAGTGACACTGGGGTCAGTGGGATTGACGGGCAGAGCTTTCACCAGTGGAGCCCCTGCAAAAGAGAAAAAAGTTTTGCTTACACAACTATTTGAATCTCTCAGTTTAAATAAATTAAATAAATCAGAAGACCTTATAATTTAATGCATGAAAACTAAACATCTTAACATCTGTAATATATATACCAAGACATGCATATATAGAGAGGTATAAATAATTGATTGGCAGACTGGGGAGGTGGTTCCGGAGGGTGTGCTCCAATTACAGGGGCATCACTCTCCTCAGCCTCACGGGTAAGGTCTGTTCAGGGCTTCTGGAGAAGAGAGTCCGATCGTCGGTCAAACCTCAGATCCAGGAGGAACAATGAGAGTTCTGTTCTGGTCATGGAACACTGGATCAGCTCTTTACCCTCACTAGGGTCCTCGAGGAGTCATGGGAGTTTGTCCACCCAGTCTGCACGTGTTTTGTGGACTTGGAGAAGGCATTTGACCGTGTTCCTCGAGGTACACTGTGGGGGGTGCTCCATGAGTATGTGAATGGGGGCCCATTGCCACATTATTGTGGTGAAGAGGGAGCTGAGCTGTAAGGCATGTCTATAATCTACGATCATACCCTCAACTATGGCCACGAGCTCTGGGTAGTGACTGACAGAATGACATCACTGATACAGGAAGTTGAAATGAGTTTCATGTGCAGGGTAGCTGGACTCTCCCTTAGAGACAGGGTGAGAAGTTCAGTTATCAGGAGAGACTCGGAGTAGAACCGCTGCTCCTCCACATTGAGAGGAGCCAGTTGAGGTGGTTCAGGCATCTGGCAAGGATGCTCCCTGGGCGCCTCCCTAAGGAGGTGTTTCGGGCATGTCCGACTGGGAGGAGACCCCGAGGAAGACCCAGGACACGATGGAGAGACTACGTCTCTCGGTTGGCCTAGGAACACCTTGGGGTCCCCCCAGAAGAGCTGGAAGAGGTGGCTGTGGAAAGAGATGTCTGGGCCTCCCTGCTCAAGCTGCTGCCCCGCGACCCGACTTCAGAACAAGTGGAAGATGATGGGTGGATGTATTTATGCATATTCATACTTAGTTTGACCTGAGAATGTCATATTTGGAAACTCTGCACATATTTGTTTCAGGTGTTACAAAGTGCTAAAGACATTACGGTAAACAAAAAAAGTGCTAGTTGACTACAGCAATATATTTTTACATTTATTTGTTTAGTTTAAAGTGTCAAAATATCACTGTTTCCTGCTTTTACAAGTATGAATGTTTGAAGATTAATTTCAGTTTTCTGCTGGTTTACACCCAATATGTTTGCAATGAGGACTTTTGTATAAAAGTTAAACTTTACCACCAAAGTGCATAATTCATTAATGTAACTTCTGACTGGCATTCTTGCACATTTGGCTTTTAAAGATGGATGTAAATTACTGCTTGTTCAAGAATGAAAGCATCTGTATTAGTAAACAGATATATCCTGTTTTATTTCACTAAAGCTGATTCACACACACAGACACACTGCTACAGAAAGTTAAAACAACACAAAGCATTCTATTCATACCACGTTACATCAAAATACATTTAAAGAACATGCAAAACTAGCTTTGCATGCACACATAACCTAAGTGAATGCAGAAACAAAACAATACTTCTGTTACCTTTGACTGAGGCCAGAGTCTCCAGAGAGGGAACAGTCTCGTGATAAATGAAGTCGTTGTCCTTTTTGGCAGAATTAAACCTTTAGGTGCAAATACATTTTTTATATAAATACAGACATATCTCTAGTTTTGTCAACAATAAAATAACTCCAGAGAAACGCTGTGAAATGAGGATGAGAATTATTGCTCACTTTCCACCAATTACATCCATGGTGAACCTCAAGGCCTCTTGCACACTGTCAGGTTGACCCTGATTGGATCAGAACAAAACAAAGTCCGGTTTGTAAAACAAAACGAAAAAAACTTTCTGACAAGTTGCAGCGACACCAAAATGTGTGAGGAGTGCTTTACCTTAGCTAGCTTGATTGCTTCATTGAGTTTGTCCAAAGAGCTCTGCAGATAAGCCAACTGTGGGAGACAGAACACTCCTGTCATTTAACTGATCCATCCATCCATCCATCCATCCATCCATCCATCCAACCATCCATCCATCCATCCATCTCTTTACCCACGTTTTCCTGTCCAGGTCACAGGGAGCTGGTGCTAATCTCCAGCAGTCAATGCACAAGAGGCGGGTTACACACTGGACAGGTCTCCAGTCCATCACGGGGCCACATAGAGACAAACAACCGTTCTCACACTCACTCACACGTAGGGACAATTTAGAGTTACCATTTAACTCAACATATCGTGCATGTTTTTGTTCTGTGGGAGGAAACCGGAGTATATGGAGAAAATCCACACATGCAGAGAGAGAACATGCAAACTCCACCCAGAAAGGCCGGGAGGCAAACCTGCAAACGTTTTGCTGTGAGGCCACAGCTCTAACCACTGTTCTGCCCTTGCCATCCATTTAAATACCAATACATTAAATTAGAGTGAGAACACTTCAATAAATGCAAACCAAGTTTTATGTGACTGTTGTGAATAAACATCTGTTTCTGAGAAGTAAAGAAAAGTATTCTAACATTTGCCAACATGTCTGTATCTTTCAAAGTTTGGAAGGTACAAGTTTTTGATTGCTTGATGTATTTAGATATTTTTCTGTTGGATTTAGATAAAAAAAAAAGACAGATACAACTTTTTATTTTGTGTTAAATATAAGCTACACAAAGGAGACAGCTATAAAGTTTTACAACTTGTTTGAGGATTCTTTATCTTTGAATATTACATACGAGGAATGTGTGATATATACGGTACACAGTATTTATCTATGATAGAGATCTGTCTCTACCAGCTAACCACAGTAATGCTGTGTCTAATGTCAAATCAGTTGTCAGATTTAACTGTTACTTTTTGTTGTTGTTGAAAACTGCGTAAATGGTGTTAAAAAAGTCTGTTTTCTTTGAGAGCTAAGTAGCAAAACTACAAGCCATCTACGGCCGGCTTGCCGTACTGTTGCCGTATTCGGACGCATGCGCAAAACGCTGTGTTCCATCGAAAGTTAAAGTAAGCGTTGGTTAGCTTTAGAGAGTGCATTCTACTAAATAAAAAGGGTTAAACCTGCTCTCTGATCTGTGAAAAGAACATTGTGTTGTGTGATTTTACTGCGAGACCCTGTCTGGTCAAAGCCACAGAGGAAACTGGTCGCCATTTTGTGTCAGCGCTCTTTAAAGAGGAAGGAGACGCCCACTGGAGGAACCCCTCCTTTGCTTTTGAAGCCAAACTTTTATCTGTCAGAAACTGACCCACTGGACTGGTGGAGACTGAACCAGGCTATTTTTCCAAGAATGGCAAGGCTGGCCAAGAAATACCTTTGCATTCCAGCCACGAGTTCTCCTTCAGACATTTAGCATTGGTGTTAACATCGTTTCATGACACCGGTCTCTGTTAAAGCCAGAGACAGTGTGCAAGCTAGTGGTCTTGGCCAACAATCTCTAGACTCTAAATGACAACAATATTTTGAATTTGAGTTTTGTTAAGTGTTTTCAGTGTGCACTAAATGCTGCTCGTTGCTGTTCATTTCTTAAGCGAGAAGACTGGAAACTAAGAGTTATATTATTTTGTTTAAAACATATGGCTAAAACTACATTTGATCTCTTTTGCACTGTTTTGCACTACAAGAAAGAAACCCAATACTTGAGTTGTTTATTATTGTAAAACTCTCTGGACCTAGTAGTGGAATTTTCTTGATTGAGATTATTTTGTGGTATAGCAGTTTTCAAAATAAATGATGGTAAATGGACAGCTTATGCTTTTTATTTTTTCATTCCGATTGCTTGTTTTATACCAAAAACATAATGAAATATATCGTTAAGGCCACCCATCAGAACAGATATTGTGATATGAATTTTATGCCATATCGCACATCCCTATAACATACAAAGTTGCAAGCTACTGATAAATTAAAAAGTTTAGAGATGAAAACAAAATAAAACTTTTTCCTTTAAAAAGGTCAGTTGGGAAACTCAGTTGAACAGAATTTACATCTTTAAAGTGTTCATAAAATAAAAATATTTCCTCTGACGTGTTAAGAGCTTTGAAACTAACACTTTTCGTATGTTTATAAATGTAGTTTTGATTAGGTTTTGTAGTTTTGATTAGGTTTTGTAGTTTTGATTAGGTTTTGTAGTTTTGATTAGGTTTTGTAGTTTTGATTAGGTTTGCTGTAGGAGATTAAAGAGCAAAAACTGAAAACAACCGTTCTTAAAACAAAATGTAAAAAAGATTTTGCCATTTTCCAAGATGTTGATTATTAAGGCACCAAAAATTAATGGATGATCTTTACTCCTTTAGGTAAATTTCCATCATATGAAAACTAAAGCAAGTGCTGATAATTATTGAAAATATAATAAATCTAATTAATAATAAAATGAGTGTTTACCCGTTCTCCGTACTTCTGCTGCTCCTCTGCCTGTTTTCCCATGTGGAGCTGTGGAGGAAAACAAGAACTGGATCGTTTTGTGCAGCCAACACTTTAAATATAAGTACACAAACATACATCTTTACACTTTCAAACAAAAATCAGTCCCAATACTCACATGAGCGATGGAAGCAAAGTAGTAGATCTTCATCTGAACCAGTTTCTTCCAGTCTTTCTGGATCTTTCCCAGCATAGATGCTGTCTCGGAGTTCTCCAGAGCCCTGCAGGCCTCTTTATAATAATCCACCACCTGCAGCAGCACAGCCACACTTATCCGTTTAAATAAAATCATCTTTATTGTACGCTGCGATGCAGTTAAATGTGATGAATATTTATTTAACAATAAAATATAAACCTGAGCACTGATGCGGGCAACCAGAAAACTCTTCCGGTTATCCAGCATGGACTTCTCCAGCAGACACTCCTGAGCCTGCCCCTGGGAGACAAACGCAGGTTAATAACACATTTCTGTGCGTTTGCGTGCACGTGCTGTGTGTTTCCTACCAGCATAAGATTGATGTTGAGGTTAAGAATCTGATGGCTCATATCCACACTGAAGTTGTGGCTGAAATGGTCTCTCAGGTAGGAGAAAGCCCCAGCTGAGCACTGGAAGTGAGTGCACGACACCTTCATCCCCTGAAAACAGAGCAGATCGTTTCAGACTGTGTGTGCAAATGGAAACACAATTATTGTGCATGTGTTGCCGTACCTCCTCAGATACTCTGTTATCCATGGCTCCCAACATGGAGTGCAGCGCCCCTACAAAGATTTCACAAACAGGTTGGAGAAATGTGAAGCTCCAGCTGTGTGCAGTGAGTAAACACTCGCTGGGCATTCAAACGTTTTACTGCAGTAAAGAAGTACAGAATGTGTCCCGACAGCTTTCTGAGCCAACAAGCTGCATTTTTATTTTCATTAAGCACAAAATATTACATACTGAATATTTTGGAGATAGAAATGTTTAAACTTCACATGAACATATTTGTTAAAGGATGTTAAAAAGATTATTAAAAGGCTTTTATTGAATGTTTTAATTTCTACTGAAAGTTAGAATCAAGGACAAAGAAATAAATCCATGGATCTGAAGGAATTCCTTGATCCCTGTCTGATGTGACTTGCATGATTTATTAAGAGTAACAGTGGAGTTAAATACAAAAAATAAATAGTAAAAAAATTATCTTTGCTTTAAAAATAAAATGAAAAAAGTTCTGGATCTTGTTTACAAGGTCTTATAAAACAAGAGGTGAAGAGCACCCATCTCTGGACCTAAAATCTTAATTTATATCAAAGCACAAAATAATGAACATGTTTAAATTATATTAAGAATAAAAAACATCTCTGTAGTTCATAAAGTAAATAGTTGTTGTTTTCCATTGCTGACAGCTTAGCTTTGCCTTGTTGAGGTGAATACACTGAAGCCTGTTTTGTGTCTCCTGCAGAGATACGCCACTTTGAAATAATTTAAATATATATTTTTAACACGGTCCTTTAGCAGGAAAGTTTAATCAGAGGTAATAAAACTTATAGGCCTTAATGCTTAGGGTTCTATTTGAATAAATATAAAAATGTCTAAAGAGAATAATTTTAATTAAAAAAAAGAGAAATCAGGTTCATCAGCACTTTGCACAATTATTTATTTTATGTATGGAAATCTGAAATGTATGGTAAAAAATTTAAATACAGTAGTCCCTCGCTACTTCGCAGTTCAAATATTGTGGTTTGTGGACTGTACAGTAATACTGTGTCACTGTACTCATGTGGATGTGAAAAAGTTAATGACAAAAATAAAATACTTCGGACAGGTGTCACTATTTTGTAGTTTTCTCTCGGTAAGCCTCCACTGTATTTCCGCTCATAATGACCACATTTCCCAGAAGGCAACAGGGCCCCGCCCAGAAGCTCCATTTCTTTCTGCTGAAAAGTCCAGAGGTAAAGGTTTGATCTGCTCAGCGCCCAGAGGATGCAGAGAAGCTGAACTGAACCCACCAAACCGAACCAGAACAGGAGCAGAACCAGACCTCTAGACCCATCGGTGAATCACGAGAGCTGGTACCCGGCCCACGAGGGCCTATAAGTGGGGACGTGCGCCGAGCCCATCGGGACTTTTTTCATCCATACTTTGACTCAAATCGAGTACCTATGGTCCGACGCCAGCCAACAGAAGGTCTGCACCCCCCTGAAATGTACTTCAAATCTCAAGCTGCACTGAACTGGACCAGAACCAGACCTCCACACCCAGCGGTGAACCCCAGAGCAAGTAAAATTTAGTAACTACATATAAGTATGTTGGTAAAATTAGTAGGATTAAGAGTTGACATCATTGATTGTGGGCTTTGTCCCTGCCAGTTAGGTCTGCAGAAATGAACCGGGTCAGACCAGAACGGAGTCAGACCAGAACAAGCTCCGCTCCTGTTCTGCAGAGCCTGGTGAGTAAAATTTAGTAGCTACATATAAGTGTGTTGTTAAAATCACGTAGGTTTAAGAGATTAGAACATTGCAAGAGAGTGGGGTTTAAAACGCCTTAATATGTAATTATTAAGGCGTTTTAATAAATACGTTTGTATACAAATACTAAAATAAACTACTACTTACTATTACTACTACTTGTGTACATAATTTCATTCCATCTCGTGTACCACATGACATGGTAATGACAAAGTTTACTTGAACTTGGACTACTGTATCCCTACTTCATAATTTTTCACTTATTGTGGGGGGGGGAGGGCTCCCCAACACCCGCAATAAACGAGGGACTACTGAACTAAAACTTACATACGCCAGGAGATTTAAATTGTTCCCAGTACTTGTGTCTGGTGAATTTGTTCTCAGTTATACCTTCAAACATCACAAATGCTCAAGTTGAAAGCTATAAATTGTTGTTTGCGTTCTCTCACCAAGGTTGTAGAGGATGCACGCTTGTTCATAGCTGATGTCATCATGGGTGATTGTTTTTCCAGAGAAAATTTCAGTCCTGAAGGAAATTCAAAAGCAACTTATTGGCAAGAATAAAAAGGTAAACTGCCATGAAGTCATGCACGTGAACAATATCCCTTATAAATTACTCGGCTTTAAAATATCATGTGAAACATAAAGTGCAACAAGTCACAGCAAACAGCTCCAGACTGCTTTAGTTCAATGGTGAAAACAGAAAACTGATGAGGCTGCGAGTGCGAAACGGTTTTCTTGTGTTTTAGCGTTCTGCTGCTACCATGAGATGGGTACTGCGGCCTCCTGGCCCGGTCCCATGGGCACTCGGCTCTGGAGGTAATGCAGTTGGCCAAAATATTTCCTCAGAGTGCTGCATCCCTCGAAATCCCTCGTCACGTTCACAGCGCTCTGTAAACAAACACAATCGACTAGTTTCTGCCGTTACATCAGATGTTCTTAACCTTTACAGCACAAAATCACTATATCGGCAAAGACACTGATGTAACCCTGTGTTGCATCATATGCCCCCCCAGTCTTAACCATGAAGGTTTGAAATTGATCCTTTTTCTTGTTGACTTTTTACAGAGCTCATTTTCAGACGTGTCAAATGTGGCTAGACTTAAAACTTTGACCAGAGTAGGGATGGATGAGATGTCAAACAAACAATCATTTATCTGTTATGCTGTAAAAATATGCGTAAACTTTTTAAATGCTTGTTTTCAGTTCAGACCAACTTGTCGTGATGGGTATCTGTATCCAGCAACTGTTTCACCACATTAAATTATTGAATAATTACTTGATTTATGACATTTAAAACAGAGATAGTGTACAACATTCATACAATCCATATATTATAGTGCATTGTTTAACACGCACTGTTTAAATAGTGAGTGAAACAGACAAGGAAGTGGTAAATGCATAGAAAGCAGACAAGTGGCGTGTCCACATGATTCAGCTTAATGCAAGAAATATAAATAAAATAAGAGATGACACACTTCAGCTTATTGTACAAAAGGTTTCCTCTCCGAGTGCAGCAACAAAAACACATAAAGGTATAGATTTTATTAAACTTTATGTGTCTTTTGTAGCTTTAAAGTAGCAGCCGGCTTGGGACCCGAAAGTCCCAGGTTCGATCCCCAGTCACTGCACATCACGTGGCATCTCTGGGCAGCACGCCTCATCCCCAAAATGCCCCCCCACCGGGCGCTTTCAATAGCTGCCCACTGCACCACCTGGCGGTGGATGGGTTGAATGCAGACTAATTTCGCCATTGTATGGAAACATACAGTGCTGACATTGTGATGACATTATTATTATTATTATTATTATTATTGGCAGAGTGTCATTTAAATCACTGGAATTAGGGACACATTAAATGTATAGTGTATCGCATCAGCATTAGTGACATCTGGGTCAAACTACAACTTTGTGATTTTGTGATATTTGCAGCTGTATTTGTTAACTGACAAAAGTATGTTTCTGCCATTTTACTGGAATTGTACATCATATCCAACACGTTGAAAATTGACAATAAGTTACGAAACACTCCTAAGCAGCTTTAAAAACAGTAAGAGCCACAAAGATGACGGGAATATTTCTGCTAAGCTAAAGTTTTACATGCTACACCCACCTGCCGCAGAGCCTCCAGCTTCTTCAGCTGCTCATTGTAGTTGTCTGGATTCTCTCCGTAGTTCTTTAAGATGAACTAGAGTAAAAGAAATTAAAGTATATAAATGTGTCGATTCAAAAACATTTGCTTTAGGTCTTCAGTTGTAACAACAAAAACAAATGCAGCATAACAGAATATATATATATTTTTTTTAATTACTTAATGTTTGATAAGTCGGTTAGCTACAATGCTAATCATTTGTTTTTATAAAAAGCTAAGACGGTTGTCCAAGCTCTCTCACTGTTCCAACAAGAAATGTTAAGCAGTAATCTGCTTAATGTCAGGCTGAGAGGTAAACAGCCCTGCAGATATACTGGTTGTTGTTGGTTTTTTACTGAATCCATTTCACACAGGTCTTAAATAAACTGTGCAAGCAGATGTCACAGAGCCAGATGTGCAATGACACAGCAACAAAACAAATGCCGACTTGTTTTTGACTTTCTCGTGTAAAAAAATAAATTAAATTAAAACAGCAAGTCTTTTGTTTTGCATACACAAAGGGTATTGACACTTCAAAAATAATTGATGTTTAATATTTGTTCCAGCATAAAATCCAGCATTTGGAACCAGACAGTCATGTGCAATTATATATAAACAAAACATTAGAGCAAAGGATAATAATTTTTATTTTCTTTTGTTCTTTCAGCTGCTCCTTTCTTCAGAGGTCAACTAAGTCGCATCAAGACTTGGCAATTGTTTTTACGCCGGATGCCCTTCCTGACACAACAGACCACCGAGCTACCACAGCCCTCTGTGTGGAGCAGAGCTGCCCTGGGGAGCAGATGGTGGGGGTTAAATAAGGGCCTTGCTCAAGGGCACAGAGTGGGGCAAATGAGGGAGGAGGCAGGTGTGGGTGCTTCACCTCTCCCACCCATGCTTTTGATGTTGTCGGTCCGGGGAGTCAAACCAGCGACCTTCCGATCACAGGCTCACCTGCTCTAACCTCTGCACCACCACTCCCCCCTACAGCATAGGATAATAACTAAAAGGTTATATTTCCAGCATTATTTCAAAATCACTATATGCTTCCACTTTTAGATGAGCTTTAAAGGCATCACCATTTTTAACGCTCGATGTTTCGCTCTCGGAGTAACCGCTAAAGGAAAACGTTCCTCCCACAGGCCACTGCCCTGTACAACGAATCTGTTACCTCTGGAAGGAATTATTACTCCCTGGGTTTTTTTTTTTAGGTAAAATCATATTTGTACATTTGAAATCTTTTGTGCAGTTTTAAATCATATTTACACTTGTTTTTTGCAGGTTCAACTTAAGTAGTAGTGAAAAATGCCAACACCTCTAACAAAAGATTACAGTAGTCCCTCGCTACTTCACAGTTCGTTTATCGAGGACTCGCTCTATCGCGGTTTTTCAAAATAAGATTGGACATGACACACGATTGGCTGATTGATGGATGAGCCACACAATTGGCATGAAATTTTTATTTAAAACAAATTATTTTAAATTATGTAGCACCTACTGCAGCTTTGTGCAGCCCACACGGCAGGATAAACTTCCTGCTGCAGCTGATCAGCTGTGCAGCGGAGAAGTGGGCGTGGCCAAGAGTGCTTGCAGGGAGCTGAAATCATGACACTGTGCTCTTTTAGAGCGTGAAGGGTTTAAAACGCCTTAAAATAATAAAATTAACTACTACTTACTACTTGTACTACTATTCCCATAGGGTACGGATCCCCCGCGATAAACGAGACTGCTGTATTGGCAAAAACATTAAACAAACTCATCCCTTAAAAAGCATGTTTTTTACTGGTTGGCAGCAGGTTTGAATAATGGGAGCCTGCAATTACCACATGCAGGAAAAATACTCAGAATTCCATTTGGTCGTCAAGTCGTTTACTTCCTATTTGAGAGAGGCATGGCATAATTTTAAGCTTTTGCTCCGACAGTTTAATTTCCACGAAGGCGTAAAGGAACTTTTAAAGCAATAGACTTTTATAGTTCACGGCTTTAACGGCCTAAAAATAAAACAAAAATCCACTCGGGTTCATCAGGACCTCTGGAAAAGCTAGAAATATTTAAATGAGCATTAAAAAAAAAAAAAAAAAAAGATAGAAATTATGCCAGATTTTGTGAATTCAGAGCATTATTCATCCCAGAATGTTGAATTTTAAAACTCAGTCATTTTCTAGTTTTTTAAGGTTTTTCAACAGCTATTCTGTGTGTAATAATTTACTGAATTTGTGCTGCACTTTACATTTTCAATCTCCAAGTGCTACAATGTAAAACATCTAGAGAATAAGACATGAACAAAAAACTGACAAACTAAAAACATTGGGATTAAAAATACATTTGAACACTCTAAAATCGTTCAAATCATCGGCATAGCCGTCTCTTTCCCGTCCTCTCCAACCCTGAACGGTCGAGGCAGATTGCACCCTCTGAGCCTGGGTTCCTTCATGTTCACAGGGAGTCATTCCTTTCTACTGTCGCCAACGTTCTGCTCACGATAGGTGATTGCAGTGAGGTGGAAATTCAACACAATTCAATTCAGTTTATTCATACAACACCAAATCATAACAAAGCACTGTACAAAACATTCACATACATTAATAAAGTTATTTATCTAAGGAAGCCAGGAGATTATGTTGAATCTTCATTTCGTCACAATCTCCCAATCTGCTGGCTTTCTTCATCTGAAAGTTATTTTCAAGCTTTTTCAATAGAAATTAGTTTCTTTCTTTGTTATTTCTAAGTGGTAAAACTTTAAAATACCCAATTTAATAGTAAATAACTAAACAGCAGCTTTTATAGCAGGTGTTGACTACATATGTAACCCTACATGACCAATTCAATTATTCTTTATTAATCCCAGAGGGAAATTAAATACCAATAATAATTAAACCAGAGATAAATCAAATCAGTTTTTATCCTGGGAGTTAGATAACTTTCCTTTTCTCTGAGCTAATTATCTTCTACCTTCAGGTTCATGTGACGATGAGATCACCGTTTACTAATTTTCCTGACAGTGAGTCTTTCAGGGCCAACACGAACCGCCGTCCATATATTACCAACATCTACGTTTGTATTTATCGCTGAGAATGCTGTGGTTGTTTTAAAGCGAGTTAGCTTCGACTTTAGCCTCTAGTTTGTTATGAAGGAGCCGCAAGCTAACGTTAGCAAACAAATGGCGGAGCTGCTTTTCCACACAGCTAGCTAGCCTGGATAAATATGTTCTGGAAAATTCTCATCTCGACACGGGGGGATTTCCTGAAACGATATGCGTCTCTTCTTGATTAGAATACTCAGTCTCCCATTAGCCTAGTTTGGTTGACTTTTCAACCTCCTCAGCCCTGTTGCTCCATTTCCTCGCCCAGCTCACCTGCCTGACGGACGGGCTGAACTGGAACTCGCCAGCCTCTTTCAGATCCAGCCAGATCATCGGCATCCGGGGGACCGCCTCCATCGTGGCCGGTACTAAAGGAACCAGGCGACCGGTTCGATGTCAAAACGCCAACGGTGACTATTTAGACGTTTAGCAGGGTTTAGCTGAGACTCGCCTTCCCCCAAACAACTGTGTCATGTATCCATTTGCACTTAAACCGGAAGCTGGAAGACGTACGTAACGTACGCCTCGATTATATGTCGCTAGGGGTTCTGGGTAATGTATGCCAGTTCAAAATCCAATAAAACTATCGAGAAAGTGCTGGTTTTTATCATTTAGATTTTTTTCCTGTGTCTCTGCAAGCATATTAATAATTAAAACAAGTTTCTCCAATAGTTTACCCTAATTTTTAAATAATAATTCAGTAATTTAAAAAAAAAAACAGCTTTATACGCTTTCTTATCAGTAAGTGTGAGTTCACAAACATCAGTTAAAATATCCTTAAAATTGATTAATTGGTTTAGTTTTTTTAAATTACCAAATTTCAAAAATTGTAATTTTAATTAAACAATTTTCTGAATATATATTTTTTATATTCACCTTCCAAGAACTTGTCCAAGAGAATGCTTTGACTTTTCAATACAATGGCTAAAACATTTATTGATTTTCTAAACATCTATTAATTAATGCTCTCCATATTATCTCATTAATTACTGACTTGTGCTTAAGCATTAACATTTTTTGAAAATCCAGCCTCACAATGATGGAGGAAGATATCAAAAAGTTATAATTTAATGGAGTACAAAAATTCTGACTCACAACAAAGAAGAAAATATAAACAATAAATAATTTTATTTAAGCCGGTGTCATCCCTTCCATCACTGATTTGTAAATGTCTCACCCTGCTGGACTGTTTAGTCTCTTCTCCTCCTGCAGATGTTACTGGTGTGGAGGAAGAGACAGGATGTCAGAGACATCAGGGTTGTTCCACACAGACTTCATCCATCCATCCATTATCTTTATCCGCTTATTCCATTTTGGGTCACGGGGGTCACTGGTGCCCATGTCCAGCAATCACTGTGCGAGGGGCGGGGTACACCCTGGACAGGTCGCAAGTCCATCACAGGGCCACATAGAGACAAACGAGACAAACAACCATTCACTCTCTCACTCACACCTAGGGACAATTTTGAGTTACCAATCAGCCTAACATGTTCCCCATCTCTTGCACAGTGACCCTGCCACCCAGAAGAGAAGAAGTAAAGATAATATATGGATGGAACTAGTGTGAAGTTGAATATCGTTCGCTGCCATTCATGCATGAGTTTTAGATTACAGAACAGAGTTATAGCTGTTTTGGTCAAACCTTGAAAACAACATTTTGCGTGATCTCCTGCTATATCACACAATCAAGAAACGGGTAAATATAAGAGTATATATTATGAACAAAACCAAATTTTAGCTCTGTAAAATTAAAGCTATTTTTGCATTGGCTAAATTTGATTAGCTGTGGTGATGATCTTGAATTAGATTGTCTCCCAAAGTGAATCAGTTCAAGATACATCCAGTGAGTTTCATAAAAATAAAAATAAATCATCTTTTGGTTTATGATATATTGTGCTAATTTTCATTCCACATTTACTTAAAGTCTGAAATTCCAAGTGGGAAAATAGAACCTCTCAACTTTTTCAACACCCACCTCTAGCTCATTTAGATTTATGAATTCACAACTGGCTTTTAATAAGCAGACACACATTTGCCCCTCCTTTTCAAAGTAAAGATGACTAAGTGGTGAGACATGATAATTTTATTATCCTGGCGTGTCAGCTGCAGCTGATTAATTGTCACACTAGCTGCAGTGTGTGACATTAAGCTGCAAACCCTCCAAATACAGTTTGTCACAAACATCTGCATCATCTGCTGCGCTCAAACTAATGAAAGAAGTTCTTCTCCGCCTGCAGAGCGTGTTTGTCGATAATCTGACATGATGGGAGCCGAGTGTTAAAAGTACATTTAGAGTAATGGAAGATGCTCTGTATAAAAAGATGACGTAAATAACTGCAGATAACTCCTTAGAGGTTTAGAGCGCAGTTCAACAAAATATTACAGAAGAAGTGTAGTCTGGTTTCCACACAACAGAATAAATTTACTGATAAATAACAAGGGGCATTCATAGTACAGGAGAAAATTAAGCAAAACTACAAAGATGACTGGTCTGCTTGAGGAAGCTGTGATTCAATGCAGAGCAAAATGAAGCTTTTAGAAGTTTAGGATCAGTTAAACAACTTCTTGGTTGCACTGAAACTGTAGATATTATGCACAAAGATTTTTGCCAAAAGCTTATGGAGTTTGAAGGATGTCTGTGATTCAGTAGTGAGTTTTTATTGAAGTGAGTCTGGCCCTCGGCAAGGACTGTTTAGAAAGCTGAGCATCTTGCAACTGAACATTTTGTAGATGATAAAAATGATGTTTCGTGTTCATTCATCTCCAATACCGGTAGATGCCTGTGATGCATTGTCTGCCACCGACGGCAAAAGGGCTATAAGGTTTTGTCCGTGTCTGTGTTTGTTCGCAATGTTAGCAAAACCATTGGCTCCCTGTCAAATCCAGAACTGAATTCAAAATCTTACTTCTAACCTACAAAGTTCTCAACAACCTTGAGATCCTTATCGTTCCACATTTTCCTAACAGATCACTTCACTCTCAGACTGCAGGTTTACTTGTGGCTCCTAGAGTTTCCAAAAGCAGAATGAGAGGAAGATCTTTCAGTTATCAGGCTCCTCTCTTGTGGAACCAACTTCCAGTTTCTGTCCGTGAGGCTGACACATTGTCCAGTTTTAAGACTGGACTTAAGACTTTCCTTTTTGATAAATCCTAGTTAGGGTCGGCTTGGGTTTCCTGAGTTATCCTGTATTATCCTGCTATAGACTTAGACTGCTGAAGGACAAACTGACCACACTTTTTTCACTATACTACTGTATTTACTTACTCTGCTCAACCTGGCACTTTAGTTCAATTCAATTCAGTTTATTTATAAACACAATTATTTGTTTTCTTGAAATTATAGTGAAGGTGTGTCTCAGTCTAACTTTTCCTTAATAAATGCACTTTGACGGTCAAATCAGATGCATTTCAAAAGCCGATACGCGGAAGTAGGCGCATGCATGGGATGACTCGCTGTGCATTTCTTCAAAATTTAACAAGATAAACACCTAAAAACAATTATTTGTTTGCTTATAATTATAGTAAAGGTGTGTCTCAGTTGAACTTTTACTTAATAAATGCACTTTAATGGTCAAATTAACTGCATTTTGCCAGGGTAGTGCAGCGAAATGAAGCTGATTTGATAGTTGCTCCAGGAAAGCTGGACAAAGGTGGCAGACTGTGGCAAGCCATTTGTGTCATTAATAGCCATTTTTACCTTTTACATGATACAACGACATGCCATACTACTCGAGTGCCATCTAGAGGCTGAAAATGTTAGTGTTCAATATTTTCAGTCAGAATGAATGAAAACAGTCATATCTCAGCCAACAATTGATTTATAAATATGGGAAAAATCCATAAATATGTTGCTTCGGTGTATAAGTCGCAGGGCATGCAAATTATGCAAAAAAAAAAAAAAAAAAAAACACCCCTGCGACTTACAGACCAAAAAAATACGGTAATTTCATGGCGTTTAAAGAGTCACATCAGCCATGTCTTATCAATAAATCTCTTAGTTTGAGAAAACAAGTATTTAAAGAAAAGTTAAGTATACAGTTCAGTACACAGTCTCATAAATTTACAATATAAGCACAAGAGCTGTAGTAAGGTTAAACACTGATGTTGCAGATATTTCACATCTTGCAGTCACTTTAGATTCTTCCTAAAGGTGCTGAATTGGATTTGAGCTACACAGGAAAGTTAAAGTATTGAAAAAATATATTGGAGAAAAATTATAAGAGAAAGTGTTTTTGATGATGCAATGATATAATATTGCTGAAAAGGTAAAAAAAATAAAATAAAAAAAAGGCTCTTTAAAACACTGCTTTAACAATCCAAATACCATAAAGATGTAAGGATTCCTGCATGTTCCAGACGTTTTCTTCTTCACTTCTTTTTCCTCACTTCAAGGTGGAACTGAGGACAACTGAGCTTCCTGCCAGCTGCTCACTTAAAGTGTCCATTCATCCTCCTCATCACTGCTTTTTAAGATCTGTTCAGACCATCAGTGGACGCCCAGTCAAACCATCACCCTGGTAATCATTAGCGGCCAACATTTCATGTTTGAATTACCTCAGCTCTGAGAAAAGTTTTTTGGACCTGCAGTTTTTGCTCCGTGCCAGTTCTCTTTCTTTCTCCTGGCAACTGGATCCAAGTCCTTCAGATTTCACGGTCTCTGAAGAATCAACTCTTTCTCATCCGATGGTCAAACACATCTTCACCCACAAACAACTGCCAACTCTGAGCCCTCACGTCTCTCTTCATCTCCTCAGAATCCTTGAGATCCCCTCATCCTACTGCACACGCCTTGAAGAAAGCAATTAACAAAAAAAACAAAAAAAAAACAAGTGAGAACATTAAATCAGCACAAAGACTTGTTGGAAACATTGTCGAAGTCAAGATTAAACACCAATACTTACCTCTTTAATCTCTTCTTAAAGCCTTAATCCTGTGTTTCATCCCCAACTGCACATTTCTATATATTTTCTTATTAAACACCTTGGACTTTTAATAAAAACTCTTTTGTATTTGTATCAGCACCTGGGAGTATTTGCTGCCCTCCACTATGACAAAAAGTAAAAAAAAACAACAACCTGTTCCATTCCCATGTCTGAATACTTTTTGTAAATACAGTCCATGATCCAATATTGGGTGGCACGGTGGCGCAGTTGATGGAGCTGCTGCCTCTCAGCGAGCAGGTTGCCGGATTGAAAACGGGCCGAGGCCTTTCTGGGTGGAGTTTGCATGTTCTCTCCGTGCATGCGTGGGTTTTCTCCGGGTACTCCGGTTTCCTCCCACAGACCAAAAACACGCATGTTAGTCTGATTGGTAACTCTAAATTGTCCCTAGATGAGAGAGCGAGTGAATGGTTGTGT